ATGTTGGTATTGCTGAAAGAGAACACATCGAGGGATATATGGATTAGCAAATATGATGAAATTGGAGGAAAAGGGAGACAATTGAAGACTTGAGAAAAGAGATTTTCGAGGCTCGAGATTGAAACGGTTGATTTGGGATGGCAAGCGACATGATGACATTAATTTCTTCTCCTTTCCCTTAACTCATTTGATATTGCTATGAGATTTGGTTTAGAACTTCTTTGTTCAAACTAAGTTATGAGAAGCTAGATTTCTTATTCCTAATGATTGATGTAACTACATTGATTTATTATTTGTTTCTCATGATTAAAAGGATCTAATTGTTGTATATATGTCTCTATTCTATATGCTCTGGAGCGTTGATTTAATCTAGAATCGAGTTGCATAATGGAAGGAATTTTATGATCAAAAGATTTAGAAATCCTTTAATTAAAGTCATTAAGACTTGTTCATCAAAGCCTCGATGTGTTACTAAAACTAGATTAGGAGTGATCCGCCATAGTCGAAAATCCAATTTTGACGGACAAAAGTCGACAGTCAATCCGTTTTTATTTTGAAAAACCAAATAGTCAATGAGTTGGCTCATCCCATATCAAAGCAAACCAATCAGCCTGATCGATTTGTTAATTTAAAAATAAAAACTTAAATTTAAATTTATATATAAATAAATAAAAACTCCACCAATCCCCACCCATTGTTTAGCCTACTGCATTCACGTAAATCCTATTTTCTCTCTCTTTTTTTTTTCACACTTCTTCTAGTTGTTTGATATCCACATCTCATTTTCTCTCTTTTTTCTTTTTAATATTCTCATTTTGTTCTTGTAGTTCTCTCTTTCAAGTTTCATTTCTCTCCCCCTTCCTTTCTTCCGTCCTCTCTGATTCTCCCCCTCACATTTCTGCATTTCAATCACGCAGCCCAAGCACAAGTCTTCCTCTACCATCTACCAAAAACCGATCAAGACTGAACCATCAGTCGATTTGTACAAAAGTAAGAAAAACATAAGTTTCCAACTGACCGAAACTAAATGGTCAATTTTTGGCATCAGCTTTGAGCGAAACCAACACCGACCAACCAATGAACACCCTTGAGAAATATTGGTTGCTTAATTGGCAAAAGGAGTTAACTATGCTTCAAGAAAGGCAATTGAGAGCTTAAAGACATGTTTGGTTGGAATCTCGAATTTTGTTTCTTATTCACTAAATCCAATATCTAGTGAATATGCATTTGGTAGGATTTGAGAAATTCGTTTTTTAAAACTCCTTCTGCATTCTATGATCCAAATAATAGAAATTCTAAAAACAACTTTTTTATGTTGTTTTCAAATTCAGAATTTGAAATTTTAAAATGCAGAATTATATTAAAAATGATAAAATCTTTGATAAATATATTACTTCGTACTATAAACTTATTTATGTTTTTTAAAATTAATATGTAAAATATAATATATTCTAAATTATATAATGCGGTAAAATAATAATTATACAACATTCATAAGAATAATGTTAATAAATTAATCAATATAACTTTAGATTAAACTAAATATTTAGTTTGTAACTACTTCTAGTTTACCTATATATTATATATATATTACTAAATACACGATGAACAATTTTTTAAATTGAAATTCAATTATCAAATCTGCTACCAAATACATATTTGAAAATACTAAGAGCAAAAAATACAACTTTTGTTTTCATTAAATTTCTTGTTTTTAGATTTCTGTTTTCTGATTATCAAACCAACCCTAAATTTTCCAACCTATATAATTGAAAATTGTTTTGATCTTGAATTGAATATTTAATTAACCGCTTCACAAATCTAGGACCTTCCTCCTGATTTTCTCTCGGCCTTTGTTGATTATTCATTATTTTATTATCTTATATTGGTAATAATTTGATTATGAGCAATTGTATTAGTAATACTTAACTGAACTAAAAACCTAATCAAGGAGACGACACTCTTATCATTCATCATTATCTTAAAACTTGACCAAATACACTTACAATAAACAACTTTCATTGTAATAGTACTTAAACTCGGTGAACTCTCCATGTTCCGCAACACTTTAAATGCACGCCTTTTCGCCCTCTTCCGAGCAAAATTCTCCTGGACAAAGATTTGCATCAGCAACCAAAGGTCGTACTCTTAGTAAACCTAGTGTCTTCCCCATTTGAACTACTCCTTGAGAATTTTCCAAAACCGAGACAGTAAGACACATTGTCTGTATAATTAACTACACAGAATGCAATAAAATTAAGTAGAGCTAACGTTTAATAGGGCAAAGGACAATAAAGGCTTAGTCGCTACTAATTGTCTCCTCCCTATTACTATTAAATGGTCGATTCATCTAAGCTAACACTAAGGCCAATTGGTCCAAGTTTCCTACTCCATGTCTTCTTTGGACTTGACTCCCCCCAGAGGTCAGCCAACGGAAGCTTGCCTCCCAACCCTCGGCTCAACTCTAGCCTTTACACCACCATCCTCAATGGTGACTCTAATAGCACCGAAGGTACTAGTAAGGTACAACTCTCAGAATCTCCTCAAAAGCACGGCTACGAGGGTGTGAGCATCGATGGGTCGGGTCAGTTTTTAGCCAACCCCAACACCAAAAACCAACTTAGTCGGTATCCAAATCTGGAAACCGATGGTTTTTCTAAGCATCTTTGCATCGGCCGACCAACCATCAATTCGATCGGTCAGTTTGTCAAAAAACCAACACTTAGATATTAAAAAAAAATAAGATTTGAGAGGGGCGAGCACTGCGAAACAAAGAAGAAGATGACAGTGAGGGTGCGATGCGCCAGTGGAAACTGAAAAGTGAGCACTTCTTTGACCAAACCGACCGATCATGAGTCTTTCTTTTTTTTTTTTTGTAAAACCGACTCCAACCGAAGCTTTTATCAGACCGACCGACCAACGTCAGTACGATCAGTTTTGGTCTGTCGAATCGGTTTTTCAGTCTTCTATGCTCACCCTAACAACCTCTAGAGCCACCAACCTTGATTATTGTCTATTAAAACTTTGTATGAGAGAAACATTTTTATGATTTGACTTGAGTGGTGAGAAAGACTCAAATTTATACAGACCATATGAGCTCAGACTAAGCACGCAGTTTACCAAGAATACAAGGAAAATAAAGTCTTAGCAAAATTCCTAATTTAGAGCTGAATTAGTTCAGATTGATTCCTACACCTACTTTGAGAGTTCTTCATCAGCAGACCCAACTTTTACCTCAAGAAGCCTATTCTAAAGCACTTCTTCTCCATTTGAGGCCAACGCAGGATTTCCTATTCTTTGGTCATGGGTGCGTCTCAAGATTGAAGTCATGCTGTATGGTAAAAGAAAACAAGAGGTCAAGAGCACAGGCAAAATAACTCCACAAACTGAAGAGACATTTTCCCAGTTTGACAGAAAGCTCCAAGTCATGAGATTGCTCAAACAAGATTATGTGCAGATGGCTCAACTTGGTTAGTATTGTTCAATGGGCCCGACCCTCTAAACGAGCTTGCAAGATCAATTCCCTTCATTGCATCCCTCAAATTGTTGATCTACAAGCTAGCAAACATGACCACATGCTCTTTATGTCCTTATGCTTAAGTGAGCATTTAACTAAAACCTTTAAGAGCATCATGCTAGCTCTTGGACACCAAACACTTTCCTAATATCGGTAAGACTCACCTTAAATCCCGCTCGATGCACCAAAACTAAGACCTCGAGAAGCACTCTCTTGGGGGATCACTTAAGACAACAAAGCACTTCCTAAACAAATTAGGATGAGGAGGCTGCTGTTTGATCTGAGAAGAGATCTTTAAACATCGAGACCATTGAGCAATATTATGACAATCCTAGCCATCAAACTTATAGAAGTCTAAATTAGACCATAATCTACCTAAACCATTGACAATTAGTGTCAACAAAGCATTCCTTGCTTCGTCACTCCTTTGCTTGAGTTCCTGTGAAAAATATCTCAACCATGCTCTCACTACCATTCGCCATCACACATCGTTGATGAGATCAAATCAATGAACGAAGTCAACCAGGATGAAATCCAAAACAAGCGAGGTAATAGGGAAGGCTGCTTCTAACTAGGGTATGATCACTGAAAATCAAATGGCTCTAGATCGATGTATAAACCAATTAACATAGGCTCTATAAGAAGCACGTCATGATTGCAACCTTCACAAACACGAAACAGCCCTTGAATGCCCCTCAAATCTTACTATCTTCATAAATATTATAAACAAAGCATGCCATGTCTCATATAGGGCCAATTGCCACAAAATAACAATTACTGATTCAAATTACTATCTACTCGACATTGAAGTCTAATTGAGCAAGGAGTAAAGGGTAAACTATAAAAGCTATTTCTTTGTTTCAGACTCAAACCCAACCACACAGCCCATGTCAGGCTCACATGGGCAGCAAGTCTCAGCCTAGCTTCACACTCTTAAGCAAACATAGTCGGGCTCTCTTCATGCTCATCTTAAGCATCCAAGATATAGTCATCTGCTTAGCCCTGCACTAACGCAAACATAAATGCATAGGCACACCCTTACGTGCTTGCAACTGTGCTTCATCAATCCAAGCACACAACATGTTATTGCCTTTTGATCTTCCCCAAATTCAGCTTGTCACGAATCTTCGGAAATCAAGAAATGATCTTTTTGAACTCTATACAATCAAATCAAGATTCCGATCACCATTCAACTCAAACATCTAGCTCCACCTATAAAAATGCGCCCTCACCACGTTACACCTTCCATGTTCACGAGCATCCAAGTGCACAAAAATGACTCTTTTCTAAATTTGATTCATCTTATTTCATCATCAGAACCCTCAAACTTAATCGCCGCAGCCACTTCAACAAGCAACACACCACCATAAATTGAATGCTCTACTAACACATATCTCTCTTCATTGCAGGAACTTTCAATCATTTTGGTAGATTCTGACCCCTAAAAATTGCACGTATTTTTGCAGCCTTAAAAACATAAAAATTAAAAAGGACAAGATATCATTCTCGTATAAGCTCATATGGAAATGAAACATGCAACCATGCAAGAGCTGAATTTTGTTTACAGTAAACAATACATGGACAAACATTCAAGAACACTATCAATTTCAAGAGCACCAATAGCAGCAGGAAAATAAAGAAGGGATGCGACCAGTTTGGCGAATATAATCTGCTTTCTGCTCAGCTATCCCAGCTTGGCGGTTTCTCTTGGCTTCTGCTGCCGCTAGCTTTTCTTCAGCTTTGTGTCTTACTGCTGCTAGTTTGTTCATAAGCCTATCGTGTGCCTGACCTCTCATTCTCTCTATTCTGACCTGCATAAACCAAAGTAGATTGTATACATGATTTACTTTTAAAAGATTGATATTTAAGGTTTTATATTTAACTCTTTTAGCTGGAAAAATTTTAAATGCTAATTACGAATTGAGTAATCCAAACACATTACGATAGGGTTCAACTATTATTCAGTAAAGTACTAGATTGTATACATGATTCACTTTTGAAAATTTGATATTTAAGGTTTTATATTTAAGTTTCTTAGCTGGAAAATTTTTTAATGCTAATTATGAATTTGATTAATCCAGACGATACAGTTCAACTATTATTGATATCAGAAAGGTACATATCCAACGGCAGATTCAAGATCTCCCGTACTTTCCACTCTCCTAGACTCGAGCCAAAAACAAAAGTTACCTCTTCTCACCATACGTAAAGTCTCCTAATCAGAAACTACTTAGCCTTACATCACAGCTAACTGACCATACGAGTCCCACAAGTCTTAACAAATTGGCCCACAAACTTGACTCACCCCCTTTTAACCCTCCTTTTGTGATTCGGGTTAATAAAATAACCACGGTTTATTATATTATTATCTATCCAAATAAAACTGCATTAGTGTTTCAAAGCACAAGGAACACACCTTAAAGGCCACGAGCTTCTTAAACACCTTAAAGAGAGAAGCAACAAAAAGACATCGCCTGCGAGGCGCACTTAATAAAAGAATAAGTAAATATTATTTGCAACAGTTATAGGTAAAAAGAATACTCAATTTTTAAAATGTGAAAATATCAACAAAATTATTTAATATTTAAATAAAAATTAACTTAAATAATTATGAGGAAGGAGAAATAATTTGAAAATAAATTGGGATAGAAATTCTTTTTAAACTAGGGTAAAGTGCTCCAAATGCAGGTTTGTTTTTATTGGAGCAAAAATATTGCCATTTGACAATTTGCCTTGCATGCAGTTAGCATTTCTTTAATGCTGGCATCTAGCAGTTAAATTCTCCTAGGAAATGTAAGAATGAAAGAGAGAAGCTCCATCTGACTTTTCTTATGCTTCTTCGATTCGACCCTTCTCCTCCTTCCTTTTCTTCTTCATCAGACCCTTCTTTCTTCTTCTTGACACTAACTAGCACTTAACTCATTCCCCCAAAATCCCTTTACCTTTTTTTTCACATACCATAATACCACTAGGTCAACTAATGATGGTATCTCAATGGTAACTCCACGGTTAGAATAGATGATGTCATTCAAAAATAGCATCGAGTAGTCAGCGGAGGGTAACAAACCTCAACTCTCCTCATTTCGGCTTCTGTTTTTGCTTTCTGATGATTTTCCCATGCTTGAATTTTCATCTCTTCACGTTTGAACCTGTAGATCATGATCACAATTGATCAAATATTGCAAGGTAATCATATTGAAAATTCAAGTCATGGGAAAGCACTGCAAAAGTATGAAATGGCTGGAATAAATAATCTGTAGACGTATAAAAATAATGAACGCTAGCTATTGTTAATTGTGGAGTAGTTAATTTTGTGAGCCAAGGATGTGGTACATAAAATATTGTCTGGTAAATTGCCCTAGAACATGTAGTCCACTGTTTTTTTTTCAGATCATTAGATGTTAAATATTCCAATATAAGCTAAAATAACATAATAGAAGTTTAGAGTTACTCCATCAGTCAAAAATTGAACGTTGTGGCATGACTACAATTAGGGTCCGACGTCCGAGTATGTAGAGTGGTCAATTTAGCCACTAAAAATAGTTCACTGCACATGCTTATTATGTTGATGCGTTATGCTATTTCCCCAAGCCAAAGAGCGATACTGGTTCATAAAGGACTCAACTTTTTTGATGAGGACTCGGTGCCTTGACACATGGTCATGTGAAAGTATTCAGTTCATCAAGAATCATTAAGAGAAAAAATTAACTCAGTAGCTGTAATTTCAAAACTGATCAAATGAAGCACTTCAACCATACACTTCTTCCATGCAAGAGTATAGTATTTAAGATCTGGGAATGGTGATAGGAATATGAATAAAAACATATGATGAAACAGAATCCAAAGCTGAGAGTGTTTTGTGTCTCATTTTTTTTCTTTTATATAAGGCTTTATGGAGTGTGTAAAGCTTGGTAAAATTATGGAAAAGGTTACCTAGCCATATACTTGGCTTTCTCAGCCTCCTCCCATGCTGCTGCCCGTGTTTCAATCACACTTTTAGCTGGTCGTTCAGTTGCAACAGTTTTAAGTGAAGTGGAGGCATCTTTATCTTCCTCCTCCTTGCTGGCCCATGCAGCAATGTTCAGTTTCCCCAATTGTGTACCAAGAACCATTATCTCTCTTCTAGTTTTCAATTGTATCTCCTTCTCAGATAACTCTGTGTTAGAATCTACACGGTCTGCCGCTGTGGTCAGAGTCAAAGATGAAGTTGGTGCAGCTCTCCCAGGAGTCGATGGTACAGAAGAAGTTGGACTACGCATTGGTGTTGTTGCTCTCACAGGAGTACCGGTCCTGGAAGGTTCTTGACTTGCAATAGGTGTCATCTCTGTACCCATATCCCTCATTGACACAGAACGAGCTGTTGTGGGAGGAGGAATAAATGTAGTTGCAGTCTGAATGGCCAGAGTTGAATCATGTTGGCTAAGACTAACTGCAGAAGGTGTACAGAACAAATAGAATAAGTGAAGCCCAATTTTCCTAAGTACGTTTTTTCTCCTGCAAATGGGTTCACATTAAAGATTACATAAACAGCTGCAAACTCGCAGTGTCCAAATCAGAGTTCAAATCATTTTCCCCAGTGGATTTCATGTCAAATAAGAAAATCAGCAGTAACTATGATGGAACAGGGGATGAAGAAAAATAAGTTCCTAGCACGGAAGGTTTGGACAATTTGAAGGAAATGTACCAGCACATATGTGACATTATGATTCAAAAATCAGAGAAACTCAATTACAAAACAACCTCGTGTTTTGCATTACAATTCACCTTCTTAACCTTCCAAGTTTAAACACAAACTATTATTCTTCAGGTTCACAAAACAGAAACTTAACAAACAGACCAAGAGAAGCCACATGAGAGGAGTCCAAAATGTTCAATCTATAATTGCAAATTCAGTAGGGTAGATATATACTATAACCTGCAAAACTATGACGTATAGAAATACCAAATGAAAGGAACAACTAAAAGTTCATTTTTTGGTACTCATTTTCAACTTGAGATTCCAAGATTTAGATCATAGCATTATTTGCAAGTTTTCCTAGGATTTTTTTATTCAAGATTTAATCTGAAAAAAAATTTTGACAACATGCTAAATGCCATAACCTCTAACGTCAAGATAAATAATTTAACAATGAAGGCCAAATATTGTAAAAGGTTCGGAGGACCAGAAACCTTTAAATTACAAACATGATAGTTAAGAAATAAATCTTCACCAGCCAGTTCCAGGCTAGACTATTAAGATAACAATTAAGAAATACCGTACAACTAAAATTTTATATAAACTGCATGTTCTTACTTGCCGACTTGCCAACAGAGTTCTCAATCATCAACACAGGCTTGCCATGTGAATCTTCAACTGCGCATGGATGAGAATCCCAAGTAACAAATTTCTGGGCAATGCTTCCAATGTTAGCTTCACTACTATCAATCTGCTTTGTATCTGGTTCTTCAAAATCAACAACTTTTCTGTCTGGAACTTCAACCACCACCTTCAAAGATGGTTGTCGACTACCATGACCAATTCCTAATTTTCGTGATCCAAAAAGTTGTCCAGCCTGAGTCTGAGATTGCCCTGTTTTGGGTCTATTTGAAGTAGGACTTGCGATCCACTTCTGAGCATCATCCCACTTGGATGGTGCTGGCTTAGAGAACGGCCCCAGGGGAACTCGTGTAGACTTCTCTGACTTCTGAAACTCAAAGGTTGAATTGAGCAGTGATGAACCATCCTGCCCACTATCATAGTTACAAGTGTTGTCCTTCAACCTATGATCATTAACCATCTCCGACACCAATGAATCAGCTTTTCTTGAAGTCGAGCATTCTGGAAAGACACTGACCACATCCACATCTTTGCAAATATCAGATCCGCTACTGCCTATTAGAAACATCTCAACTTCAATAAAACAGCCAAACTCACTGGATGAGATCCAGAAGTTCAGTTTAATTCATAAACTATGAATCCTTGTAATTAGCACCTCGTAAAACAACAACAAAGTGAAGTACAAGATTTCAAAGACAATAAATCAACGTCTTTTTGTTCTAAATGAACCAATTGAAGTATATCTCTAGGAATGACTTCAAAATATTGAAAACCAGAGCATAATAGGCATTTGTTAGCTAAATGCATTCTGGACCTCTGGTTTTTCTTTTTTATATTTTCTTTCCCTTTAAGTTTTCTCTATGGATTATACCAAGACAAAAGATTTATGGAAATACTACACCTTCTCTGGCTGACTACTAAGAGGGTGAAGGACAACACAAAACCTCTACCTCTAATGGAAGCTTCATTTTCTTTCCTATTCTGGTGCCTTCTTCTCAACACCCTGTTCAATTTCTAGAAAACAAGAAATGAGCATAAAAAGGTTACCAGCTTCATCGATCTGCAGAGCTTGAGATGACAAGTTGTAAGTGGATCCAAGCTCAAGCTCCTCCTCCTCCTCCTTCCTCTTCTTCTCCAACCCAAGCAGCATATTCCTGAGCTTTCCAGGCGAAAATCCCCCGCCACCACTAGCCTGCACACACACTCCAAGTCCCGAACCAAAAAATGCCGCATCAGATAGCAGCAAAAACGCAAATATAAACAACCCAAAATGAGAATGTGACGGATCATAAGAAAAAAAAACCCAATAAACGAAACTCAGAAAACAAACATCGGAAAGAGAGAGAAAAAGGAGAGAATGAAGCGAAAACCTGAGGCTTCTGGATCCGCTCGTAGTCCATGAAACTCGTCTCGGATTCTGCAGAAGAAGAAGACAAAGGGTTTCAGCAATCCTCGAATCCTACATTGAGGTCGAGGCTGTGCGCTAATGGGTGGAGATTCCAGAGTCAAAGGTTGGAATTGGTGAAGCTTAGAAAGAGAGTCCAATCCCTTTCGCGAAGCATGTGTAGTGTACTGCTTCACTTCATCTGCACTGTACCGCTCTGCTTCCTTACGCCATTTTCGTCCTCTTCTGGTAAAACCATGGAAGGAAAAACACTTTATTCTCTCTCTCTTGCTCCCTTTTTTTCTTCTTCGTTTTTAACAGTAAATTTGAATTTGAATTTTGTTCCTGCTTTCTTCATTTGCGGCTTCACACAATCTTTAGGACATGATTACAAATCCAAATTGCTGTTTTTTTTGTATTTTAAGAAAATTTTTGAAATCCAAATCCCTGCTTCGGAATAAAATTTTGCCATTTTTTTCCATTGACTTCGACTAGACTCTGCCCTCTGGTCGCTGAATTTTATTGCGTGACTACCCTTCTTTTACCCAGATTAACATATTTAACTGATTTCGGAACAAGGCTCTAAGCATAATTGATTTGTAAAATAAGAAAGATTTGATTTTAAATTTTTCTAAATTTAATTTTTTAATTTGTCAGGTAGAATCAATCGAAATGGAAGTAATCTTCCCAATGAAAAAAGTGATTTTAGCAATGTCATTGCCGAAATTACACTCAAACATACACTTATTGTAAAAATTATTTATAAAATATTTATAGACACCGTATTAATTTATAAAATATTTATAGACACCGTATTTGATCCGGCTCGTTTATGTTAAAAAAAAATTATTATTATTATTGATACATTGATTATTGATTATTTTATTATGTTTATTGATTTAGTTTAAAATAATATAATTTATTTTATCTTAAAGTTTTAATTAAAAGTATATTATGTTTTGAAAGGAATTTGGTTATTATTATTTATTATTATTAAGATTTTTTTTTTAAAAAAAATGATTATGAAAAGGTTTTCTTCTCTCTCCTTTCTCCTCTCTTCCCTATTTTCCTGGTCAAAACCAGAGTAACGTGTCATTTCTCCACGCTCTTACTCCTCTTTCTCTAATATTAACATAAGTGACCGTTGTTCCTTTTAGTATTTAAGAGGAGAGGTAGCACACTAAAGGAGGACAAAAAAATTAGAGAGCAATGTAGCTAGAGGAAACCCATACACATAGAGAGGAGAAAAAAAATCAAATCATTCGCTTCCTTCTTTTTTTACCATCATCTTCTCTTCTTCTTCACCCACACTGACGACCTCCGACCCCGATCAACTCCGACAGTGGCGCAAATTAATTCCGACGAACCTGTTCGGATATACACTTCCTAGACCTGCAACATTCTGGGAGTCTCTGTTTAAAACTACCTAGGTGAGAAGGTGAGTTTGGAAATAGAAAAAAAGAAAACTTTGGGCTTTAAACAGAATATTTATTTAAGTGAAGAAGAGAAAACGTTTTTTCAAAACTATATTATGGGGAATGCAAGTGTTTTTTTTATTAAATAATAATAATAAGAAAAATGTTGTTTTGGAAAGAGAATTTTTTTTAATAAAGTTTTTTTTATTAAAAAGAACAAAGTTTTTTAAAAGGAATGAAAATAAAAGATTGTGAAAATTAAATTTTTATTTAAAATAGTAAGATTTGTTTTCTTCGTATGATTTTTTTTAAGATTTTGTTTTACGTTTTAAATAATATTTTTAAAAAGTAAGTAAAGATTTGTTATTTAAGTTTTGGAAAAAGTGAATAAGATCTTTTTTTTAAATAAGTTTGCTTTAAATAGTTTTTTTTTCATTATAGTTTTTTTTCTTTTTTTTCTTTTTTATCAAATTTCAAAAATAAAAGATTTGTGTCTTTAAAAGGAATCTTAGTATACATCTTTAGGTGTTGGCATAGTGGTAAGATGCTTGCTAATAAATTGCATGACTAAGATCGAGTTTGTGCTTGTGCAGATTTTTTTTTATTTTGTCATTGTTTTTTATTAAATAATTATTTTACATAAAAGTTTTTTTTTTTAAACAAATTTCAAAAATAAAAAGTTTGTATTATAAAAAAGAATTTTAAGTTATATTTTAAGGTGTTGGTATATTGGCAAGACACTTGGGTGTTAATACTCATGGCTCTAGTTCAAGTTCTTACGTGCTTTAAATTAAATTCTATTTCATTTTTTTAATCATTTTTTTAATAATTATTTCGGAAGCTCCAATGACGGAAATTGGGACTTTCCAATATTCTCAAGGTGATAATTTGTTTTTCTAATGGTCTTTGCGCCACTCATGCTTATTGGTTCATATTTTATCATAAAATATGAAGCAATAAATTTGGGACATTTAAAATCAAACACAAAAATATTTTTCTTTTTGGACCAAATATAAAAGGATCATTTTCGACAAAATATGGAATCGTTTTCGAACGGGTGTCGTAGGACGCTAACACCTTCCCTACACTCAACTGACTCTCGAACCAAAATTCTGTTTTCGTAGACCAAGTTTTTTTAAATAGGTGATCAATCACATCTTGTAGATGATTGGTGGCGACTTCAAACCCTAAACTCGGAAGAGACCCATCAGGGGATGACGTTGGCCGCTCCGCGTCGCGATGACGTTGCGACAGCATGGCTACTCCATTGGGGACCTTTAGAGAGTCAAGCCATTATTTTTGTCATTTATTATCCTATTATATTTCTTTTTTTTTCTTTCTTGTTCGCTTTGTTTTTTTTTATGTTGTATTATTAATTTGATTTGGCATCACATGCATCTCGCACAAATACACAAGCCTCCTACCTGAGCTTTACCTTTAAAATTAGATCGGAGACTGAGTAGTGTGACCTTCGTGGAATTTCGATTCTCGTGTAGGCACATGAAAGTCTCATCTCAAGTTGACCATACTGCGTAAGCGTATGGAAGATTTGGGGGCCGCTTTCCTCTAAGTTGTGTAGGCATTAACTTTACACTAATTTTAGCATCAGATTTCTGCTATTTATTTATTTGTTTGTTTAGTTTGTTTCTGTTGGTTTTAATAAAGTGATTCGTTTAAAAGAGTCTCATGCATTTACATAAGTTACTCATTTCTCACTTAATAATCGTTATTTTTTACAACAATAAAAAAAAAAGAGTTTCGCAACTTTCCCTTTTCCTTTAAATTTATTTTCTGCCAATTTTACCAAAATTGACCTAAGTCTTAAATCAATAAGATTGACAGTAAATTAAAGCATGAGTTCCAGTAAGGCTCCTACCCAAGACTGGAGAGAGCAAGACCAAGAAATTGTCCGTCAATGGTCAGAAAACATGCAGCATACTCATGGTGACGCATTATCACAGAATGTCATCATGCCAGTTCAAAATGTAACGTTTCCAGAAAATTAGTTGGATATCTTGAAACGTTTATGGGAAGCTTTAAGACCAGATAGAAAAACCCAATTCATAAAAAAGTATGGCCACATAGCGCAGCTCCTGTACGTGCGAGTCAACTTCTCAGTGTTGAGAGCATTAGTTCGACATTGGGATCCGGCCTATAAACTTTACTTTTAGCTCAATGGATATAACCCCAACTATCGAGGAATATCACACTCTTTTATAAATACCACTGCAAGAGAAAATTGAGGTTTATTCCTATGATGGTGAGTTTACGTTGAAAAGAGCAGTATTGCTGCTTGTAGAGAAGATATCTGCTGTGAGATTGAAAAACATATGAAAAGGAAGGGAGAAAACACATGCTTGCCGATAGAATATATCTTGAGTCTTCAGTAGAGATTCGTTAATGAAGAAAGGGAGCTATCGCTATTAGCTCTATGCTTATTCAACTTGGTTTTATTCTCTAAAGTTAGTGGGTACGTTGAAGAGCGGGTGGTCAAGCTATTTTTCAAGGTAGAGATGGAGGTTAATCTCGTAATTCCCATCCTTGCAGAAACCTTCCGAGCACTAAACTTTCGCAGATCGAAAGGAGTAGGGAAATTTATAGATTGTGCTCAGCTGCTATACATTTGGATCCTCAGCCATATAAATTATCCACCAGAGTTCAAGTGTCCTCAGGTCAAATTTTCAAGATCGTGAAGTAGATTACAAAATCTCATCATTGAATTCAACCAAGGGGATTGGGGTCAAATCCACCCAGGGAAGGAAGAGTGGAGCATTTTCTTTGCAGAACTAAGACCAAAAGAGTGAAGCATTTTCTTTGCAGGACTAAGACCAAAAGATTTGGAGTGGAGGGCTCGATGGATGTCAACCAAATCTATGATGTATAGGTGTGGTAAATTTCACAGTCTACCTTTATTGGGTCCATGGGGATGTGTATCTTATGCCCCATTAATGGTACTGTGCCAGATATGGGTACGTTAGTTTATCCCAGCCACACATGACTTAAGAAACTCTGAATTTGCCTATGATGTTGGGTTTTGCAAAAACAAAATTCAGGAGGTCGCAAAGGCGTGAAAGGCGATTGTCAGAATCCAAAGTGGAAATTACCACGATAATATATTTGAAGGATACGAACAGTGGCATTCAAGTAGAGGAAAAATTGTGGTTCTCCTACCAACCGACAAGGGCAAAGGGAAGCTAGAGGTTCTCACTAGGAGAATTCTTTCTGAAATGAGCCCAAATCAGTCCACTCAGCGGAAGGTTCGCAGGATAGGATACGAGCTACGAGAAAGGAACTCCACATCAGCTAAACAAAGACTACAACTAGGGTTCAATCAAACTATACCTCGAAGCATTGAGCTGGAATTACTGTTGGGTGTGTTGCCCTAAACTCGTAGTTTGTATTTTGTAAAAACAAATGTCTATTTCATAAAGTTTTATTCAATAAATTTGTTGTTGAATCATAGCTTTGCATTGTCCAAAATCCAACAAACTAAACATCCAAGGTTATTTGTGATGTAATCGGGACAATATATATACAGGGTATATAGTTGATATACGGGGTATATATTTGATATACCCCTGATATATGAATGGATAATGTCCCGTGAATAACCTAAAGGGTCTATAGTATATGGA